AGAAATTGTTTGAGAAATAGTAATATTGGCATCGTAACTGTCTTTTTTTCATATGAACAACAAAGTCTATATGATAAGATATTGTTTTTATACTTTTCCTCAACTTTGATTTAAAAGCAAGAAACTTAAAAAACTATGAGACATAAAAAAAACGGTGTAATATTATACACGTATTGATTGGTTATGATGATACATGTAATAGCAAGTGTGTTATCCCTGAGATGCCAACTATTGCTCGAGGCGAGATGGGATATTTGCAATTCTGTTTTTCGGTATAATAAACACTTTATCACTATTTGGTTTGAAAGATCAGAGAATTAGTATATAAAGATGCATGATTTAACCTCATTTGTTATATAAGATATAAAAAAAAAGACAAAGATTCTTTATGCAACTGCTGTTTAATGTTGGGCATTCTCCTGTACAAATTTTCAAAGTATATTTCTTTATTTTGAAGAATGTTTATTTTTTTACTAGCTCATCTTTCTTAAAATTGCATTTAATGTATCGAACGACAAACGATATTCACAAGGGAACTCCATAGTATAATACAATATACCAGACTTGTTAGTCTGAGACTGATTACTTGAATGATAACCTATTAAATGATTACTTTAAAAGATGTGGGGTATATAACGAGACAGAAACTAAACGACACAAATAAGTAGAAGACATCTAGAGTGCATCATTGCAATGTGTGAAGCTCTAAATTGCACCAAATCAAACCATGCGAAACTAATAACAGGAAATTTCAACTGGTGCGGAAATAATTCTTTAGATTTTTTTTTCTTACTTTGTACTTTCACAATTTCACAACAATTGTGGGAAATACTTAAACTTTAACAGATGTTTAATTCAAACGAAAACAAAAACCACATGATAGAAAATCAATTGAAATCACGAGATAGTACCGATACACGGAAATATTAAATGAAAGACAAAAAAAGCGAATTAAATCATGATATATAAAAGTAAAGTACTGAGCTTATATGTATTAACTTAAACTTTTAACAAAGCAGTAACCTAAGCGTATATGTGTTATCTGAAAGAGTAATGCTTAGTATGGTTGTAACATTCTTTTTTATAAGATATGATATAGGAAGATGTGGTATGAGTGCCAATGAGACAACTCTCCATCCAAGTTAAAATGTATAAAAGTAAACCAGTATAGGTCAAGGTACGGCCTTCAACACGGAGCATTGGCTCACACCGAACAGCAAGCTATAAAGGGCTCCAAAAAATTACTAGTGTAAAACCATTCAAACGGAAAAAACCAACGGTCTATTCTATATAAAAACGAGAAACGAGAAACACGTATGAACTACATAAACAGACGACAACTACTGTAATCAGATTCCTGACTTACGACAGGTGCAAACATTTGCAGCGGGATTAAACGTTTTAATGGTACCAAACCTTCTCCCTTTTCTGAAACAATAGTATAATATCACAACATAGAAAAAAAACACTATAAAATATCAATTGGAACTCAATCAAAAAACGTAAATTAACACACATTGAACGGATAAATTTGACCTGTGACACCTGAATGCAAATACACAGTTAATAAAAAATTACAAGGAATAAATAATTAAAGTCAAAAGTAAATAAACAGGTTTAAACAAAGTTAAAGTATGATATCACTGTGAAATTTCAAACAATTTATAGAAAATCATCACTTTTGAAGAAACCTGCGTCATATTATACACAGGTAAATGAACATAATTTTGTTGTTAAGTATACATCTTCTTCTGTGTGTATAAAATCTTCCGTTTAGGAATACCAAGAAATTTCTTTAATATCAATAAAACTAATCTAACACTTGGTACATATGGGGTGAATATCAACAATAAAAATATACAATAAGTCCTAGATAAAACTTCCTGTACAGGTCCAAGAACTGCATCCAAGGAAAAATGAAATAATTTTGATGTTCATAGTACGAAGAAGTGAAAATTTGTAGTAATTGAATACCTAATAATCAAAGCTGGTATATAGACAAGATCCATGTTAACATTAAATAACAAAAAAGCATTACAAATAGTATCAACAGGTCAAATTAAAAAGAAAGTACGATTTGAGAGTACTCGCAGTTACTGACAGCTAGTTAAAAGCCAAAACAATTCATAATAAAAAATCATGCATCAGAGACTAAAATCAACTGAAATACATCCTAGGGATTTAGTATTTTAACGTCATGAACAGTCAAAGAAGACATGACTTGTGCAATGCCAAAAATAAATGTATCGACAGGTAGTAGGATAGTTAGGAGTGACTTCTTTATAGATAAAAATGAACGTGTGTGTATCTCTATACATCCCGTTTGAAAAGAAAATACAAATTCAGTTATGTTTTAATTTGCTAATGACAAAATCGATATTAGTGCCAATGTAAACTATATTCAGAGATCTAATTACAACATTGGTACGATAACCCTTACTAATAAGTTTGTTTAAAGGTTCGATGAGTTTACACGGATCACATAATGATTTCCGCGCTTTAAGTACAATATTACCATAAAATTTAAGATGTGAAATACCATTTTTAATAAGTTTTCTACAGGTACAGCCAAATTTACTAATCAAATTTTTGTATCTATGAAAGAATTTAGTAAAAGTTTTAAGTAATTTATGGTAACGAAATCCCTGACTTAATAATTTACCAGTGATGCATTGATTACGTTCGTTAAAATCTATGACATCACTACACACACGGACATACCGAACGAGTTGGGATATATAAACACCGTATTATGGAGCCAAAGGCACATTGCCGTCTAAAAAAGGAAAATTAACAATAGGGAATGAAAAATCGTCTCTTTTGTCGTAAGTGTTAGTATGGAGTTTCCCTTTAGAAATTGAAATGTCTAAATCTAGAAAAGGACAACTGCTGCTGTTTATGTTAGATTTAGTTAAAGTAAGTTATTTTGGGTAAATTTCGGTAGTATATTTAGAGAACTCAGGATTATTTAACGAAAAAATATCATCCAGATAACGGTAGGTATTGTTGTATGTATCAACCAAATGTAACAATGATGCGTCTCTACTGAGTTTGGTCATAAACTGAGATTCATAGCAATACAGGAATAAATCTGCTATTAAAGGGGCGCAGTTAGTGCCCATAGGAATACCCACTACCTGACGATACACTTTATCGCCGACACGTACATATATGTTATCTAGGAGAAAATTTAAAGCTTCAATCATATCCTCACATTTCCAGTAAGTGTATCTAGCATACTTTCCTTTTTCGTCACAGAAAAAGGCTTTAAACGAGTTACAGCAAATAAATTTACAATGAGATTTTTCGAAAGACCATTTTATTAAATATGAATTTTTTTTCTTTACTTGATTGTGTGGAAGTGTAGTGTAGAGAGTAGAAAAATCATAACTGTGAACAGAACCAAAAGGACCATCGAAAGCATGTATTTTATCTAAAACCTCTAAAGAATTTTTAACACCCCAAAAATAATTAATACCATTATTTTCATAAGCTGTATTACAAAAGTTAATAACCAGTTCTTTGATAGTAGTAAGGGAGGTTGTAAGAAGCACTGATATATTAGTAGTAGAACACTAACTAGATGCGGAGATGAAGCGGAATTTAAATGATTTTTTGTGTAATTTCGATAACCAGTACATGGTAGGGACTTTCAAATGTTCGGAAGAGGCTTTAAGCCCGTCTACAATAGAAGGGGTTTTATGTTTTCTGTTGTGTCCCGCCGTCTGTTATTCCGTCCCGTATTTGGTTAAGGTAATTTATTATGAATGTGCGGTCTCATCAACTTGAAATTAATGACAATTGTTTATTTTAATGTGAAATTTTCATTTTATATTACAGATTACGGTTTTGACCACGATTACAGTTTACAAATTGCGGGGCTTTCAAATAAAGTAAATGTAAACCAGTAATCATTTAGTTTTGGCAGCTTGAGTTAACATTCATGCATTCATACATAAGAATAATGATAAAATACACATAAAAATATTTGAATAATACAATACAATACAATACAAAAGACTACAAATACAAAAACACTAAATGAAACGGTTCCGAATGAAATATCAACATCCGCCTAATTTAAAAGTGTTTTAGCTTTCATCGGGCTGGGTTCGAACTCATTACTTCATCCCCTTACTCGCGGAATATAACAATATTTAAACCCAAATGGGTTGTAAGCAAATGAAAGAAATAACAGATATATTTATTGTTCCTATACATGGAGTTGGGGTTTCAATAAAGAAAATTCATATTAATATATAAGGTCCACGTTTTGTTTGGTAGACTTCTTGAGGTAAATAACACGATGATAATTGTAAACGGCAATTGTAAACAATTAGAGAAATGTACAAAAAGAAAGATGTTCCTTAACTCATAAAAAATATGTCCTTTCTTTATACAAAATAAACTAACATTAAAATGATCTATTTTCATTTTCATTTTTACATTTTGAATATTCCATGTAGTTGACAGATAATAACCACTTTTTTAGAATCGGGTCAATTTAGATTTTGACATCTTGGAAAGGCGACTGTCCACTGTTAAACACCTTTTGACGAACTCTAAATTTCTTTCGTGTCGTCGGGTTGATGTCTTATTAACGCATACCCTATTCTCCTTTTATTCATATAAAAATATTAAGGCATAAATAAAACACTTTCACAGTTTTTATTTAAGAAAACATCCTCATAGAAGTACCTTTGATGACGTCATACAGATCAATGAACGGATTACAAAACAGTGATTTGATTGCAAAATCAGCAGAATTTATGTCTTTTGTGGTGCTATCATTTCTGGGCTAATACATTAAAAGTATAGATAGCATAAGACATTGAAAAGTGAGGAATATCTGTAGGGATTTCTTAGACCTTCTTTATACCATCATTAATCATATTCTTTATAAAAGCATGAAAAGTCAGCATTTGTTCTTCGGTCCTCCTGAATGACATGCTGTTCAAAATGTTACTACATTATTGATTAATTTACTTGCAAGTTGAATAATGGCCAGTGGTAAGTATATATATCTAATTTTGGACTGACATTGTTCAACAAAAGCTTGTTCAATGTAAAACAAATTGGTCAAGAAAAGACGTTATGAAATTACCAAGTGTAACAAAATTCTGCTATCTTATTTGCATTAGTATACCATTTAGCAAAGTTTCAGCGGTTTGAAATGTTTAATAAGGAAAAACAACATACAGTTATTTTGTGTAAAATGGAAACTATAGCTCGAAGATAAAATCAGTGATTGATTATGAAGTTTTAAATTCCATCGTTAAAGGATTATCTTGCAAAAGGATTTGAACATTTTATTTTCAATTAGTCAAAATGCAAATAAAAAGTCTAGGAGTAGTTAATTAATATGAAACGAGTAGTTTACAAGAAATAGTCAAGTCTCATTAAAATTGCCAAACTATATATATGCTTCATTTCTTTATATGGCTGTTTAAAACGTGAATACTGCTTTGCATGCTATCTTTGATAAAAAAAAAAAAAATAACCTACTTAAAAAAAAAAACCGATACCAAGTTAATCACATTCAGATATATATCACAAGTCTTGTATTTTTGTGGCTGATGATATACAAATGGGAGATTACACGTAAGATAGACATAACGTAGTTTTGTATTGAACAGTTAAAATAATATGAGTACTCAATTCCACTCATAGATTCGTTTAATGCTTTTAAACAAACAAGTCGAAAAAGCAATGTTTAGCGCCAAACATCTTCCATCAAATTAAAGCAATGTTTAGCCAAATATCTTCCATCAAATTACATCAGAGGGAAATAATTCATCCTTGTCCATCCTAATCACATTTTTATCCCGGTAAATTTTTTTTTTTAGTTTTCCTGAAATTGTTCTTCCAAAATATTGTATAGTTTAAGTATATTGCAATTATGTAAAACATAATCCTACAGAGCACATACAGTACTATAGTTATCAAATTTATTGCAAACATAAAATTATTTTGAGTAGCTTCCTTCTTTACAAAATGTCGTTTTGCTGATATTAAATCCAATGCGACTGATCGCAGTGTAATGAAGATTACAGTTGCAATTTGAATATCAAAGTCTTAAGTTAAGTAAACCAATAAAAACAGTGTTTTAACGTTTCGATAATCACAAGCGTTAAAATTACAATCGTTTACATATTATTGAAAAACTAACTCTAAGTTCATAACCAATTATTTATGTGAATCATAACCACTTGGGAACTTATCCCTGTAATTTATGAAATTCCACCATTGATATATTCGCTGATGAAAGTTCAAGTTTACTGTAAAATTCAAAATGTAAACCCCTGTATCTATTTAGTTTCATTTTCGTAAAATACGCAAAACCTATCTTCTAATCATATGATGTCGTCTGATAACAAAATAGTTCTGTTGTCACTGTCATACGTCAGATATTTCATTTTATTTGTAGGAGTTTATGAAAGAAAGATTTACTATTCATTCTTCGATGTATTGCGAACCCATTTGCGAAACTATAAGTATTCATCCTAAAAAAAAAACGAAAAAAAAAAACACATATTGATTATCAGAAAACTGTTTTAGGCGTCATTTGAAAAAAAAAAAAAACAGATGTAGTCGTAGTCTGTTATTTAATGTTGGTGTAAATAAACGATCTTTGCAATACATGTATATAAATTATTATAAACTAGAAGTGTTTTCTTATATTATGAGTATGTCATCATTTACGCTTCGTTAAAATAAAAGACATAAATAAGGCTATAAAAACATCAACATTTAGAAGGACACCGTCTGTGCACACAAAATATTTTAGTTGTAAAAAGAAGTACACATGAAGTATGCACCTCAAAATGGTGCATACTTTATAAGTATTTTGTCTTGAGTACATCACTTTTTTTTTCGTGTCGATTATTTAATGATAAGTATTGAAAACTAGTGCTGTTAACCTATACATGGATTTTCGGAAATTGACAATTAACTTTCACAAGTGCAGTTTATTATCATATCGTAAAGTCTGGTTAGGATATCAGCTTACAGTATTTACACAATCGATTAAAATATATTTCAAATATTTTAGAGATAAAGAATGATGGTCCATTATCTGTATTAAAATGTAACAGATACATCCTTGTTATCGAATATTGTATGACAATATATTTTCTTATTTTTTAATTAAATGTTTAGTTTTTGATTTTGTTTTAAAGGAGGTGGGATGTTTTAGGAAAATAAATTAATACTGAACAAAAGTTTTTAAACTTTGTCATTATGTTGTTTTTACAAATTTATTCAATTATAAGTGTTGTTGGTGTAAATAAATGATCTTTGAAATATTAGAATGATTATAAACTAAAGTGTTTGATAATCGTATAAAGATGAATCATTGAAGCTGCATTTCGAAAAAAAAAGTGTGAATAAGACTATAGAATCATCAACACTTTCTCATTGTTTCTGTACACTCAATGTATGTATGCTGTAAAAAGAAGCACTTTAAAAATGTGCATATTTTATGAGATTTTTGTCTTGAGTTCATCCTGTATTATTTTCCGTGTAAATTGGTCAATGACATCTAAGTGCGTCTTCACTATTTTTAGATTTTCAGAAAGCGACAATTTACTTTCACAATTTCAGTGTATTATCACATCGTAAAGTTTGATTGAGATATCAGTTAAAATTATTTACACGATCGCTTAAGAAATATTCTAAAATTTTAGAGATAAAGTTTGATAGTAAACATATAAATATGTAAGGGATGAATCCTGGTTTTCAAATATTGTATGACAATATATTTTTAAATAACAAAGTGCTGGTTATGATTTTTGTAATATGGAGGTGGGACGTTTTAGTGAAGTGAGATGTAGTAATGAACAAACATTTTAAATAGAATTCAGAATAATTTAATTTTGGATGTAACACGTCTTCCGGTTGGCTGAAATTTTTTGTCTATCAGCTCAGAGACATAATTTTGTCATGTGACCGTGACGTCATCAACGTGGTTTTTTTTTTCCATGATTTACTCCTTACAAATAGAATTTAGAATCAAATTATAAGGAACGACTGTAAACAATTTTCTGTCTCTTCGAAATAACCTAAACATGTGGTGCACACTTTTAAATAACACGCATCGCGGGTTATTCAGTGTGCACCACATTTTGTTATGTTATTTCTTCCTAGAATATTTCAGTCATTCCTAAATGGAAAAGTCTTAAGTTTGTCACTATCCGGTTTTTTTTTAGATAAAAAGGGAAAAACAATGTTTGAGTATAAAAAGAACTATATCACTCAACACAAGAGACAACTATTGCAAAAAAGGCTAAAGACTAACGTTGCGAATTGAGCAAAATGGCAACACAATTCAAAAAGAAAGAGGTTGCTTGTAATGTTTCAACGGTTTATAAACAACATCATCGTAACAAATAGAGGTGGTATCCTGTTCGTAATTAGTTTTCTACAAGAAAAACCATACTCCCAAAACAATTTGTTTTATCAATGAAAAACATTAGTAAAGGTTTTAAGTAATGTGTGGTAACGAAATTCTTGACCTAATTATTTACCAGTGATACATAGAATGCATAAAACATCTTTTCAGACACGAGAATAGCGAACACGTTGGAATATATAAATAGCATAAGATGGGGTTAATGGAACATTATAGTTCCAAAAAGAGACGATGTACAACAGTGAATCAAAAAAAATCCGTCCTTATGTTGAAATATTTTTTTTTGCGTTTCTCATGAGAAACTAAAATATATAAATCGACGAAAGAACAGCGTTTTGCTTTTTGCAGTTGATGATTGAAAAGTTAGTTCTTTTGTGTAACTTTTGGCAGTTCATTTGAAAAATTCTTGATAATTCAACAAACACATACCATACATATAACGGTAAGTGTTGTTGAATTTATCAATGTAAAGGAATTTATAATAGTCTTTGCTAAGCTTAGCAACAAACGTTGATTCATAACAATAAATCAACAAGTCTGTCATTATGGGTTGCAATTTCTGCCAACCGAAAGACAATTGAAATACTTGCATCTATCGCATAATCTTGATGCCGAAAGCAATTCTTATTAAATAAAGATTAATGCGAACTAAAGTTCTTCTTAACGACGCTGTGAGGTAAACAACACTTCCTGTTATATTAAAAAATAGCAAGTTTGTTCAAGGTTAATGTGTGATAGCATTTGCTATTTCAATAATGTAGTTTACAATGCTAAATGTATTCAACTTTAACATGGTCAATACAATGCATGAATAAAATTCCCAAAAACTACGCCAATAATCATTAAACGCTGTGAAATTATAATCCAATTTTTACTATCAACCTGCCAAATTTTATTATATTCAGCATTTTAAAACTGGACCGGTGTAATTTACGCTATATAACATAGCTACGTTCGATGAGCAAAGTTCAAACTCACATTTAAGTGCTGTAATTTCCCCGCATTGTTTTTTTTTATTATTCTTTGTAATTTTTGAAAATATCAATAACGTATAGCTACATAAAATTGAGAATGGAAATGGTGAATATGTCAAAGAGACAACAACCCAACCAAAGAGCAGACAACAGCCGAAGGCCACCAATGGGTCTTCAATGTATAGTCATATGATGTATCACTGTAAGTTATAAAATTCCACCATTGATATCCTCTCTGATGAAAGTTCAAGTTCATTGTAAAATTTGAAATAAGCTTTGTACTTATTTAGTTTCATTGTAGGAACTCAAGGAAAACCTATCTTCTAATCATATAATTTAGTTTGATAAAAAAAATAGTTATGTTGTCACTGTCATACGTCAGATAATTCATTTTATTGGTAGAAGTCTATGACAGAAGTATTTACTTTTCTTTCTTAAATGTAATCCAACCCCTTTAGGAAACTATTTGTATCCATCCTCAAAGAAAAGAACAAAAATAAACATATATCGATTATCAGATTAACTCATTTTTTTGATGGGGTTCGTGTTGTTCAGTCTTTAGTTTTCTATGTCGTGTTTTGTGTAGTTTTGTTTGTCTTTTTCCTTGTGTTTGTCTTTTTCTTTTT